CTCTCCTCTCTGCTTGGAGGACTCTCCCTGGAGGGAATCTCGGTGTAGAGGCCACTCCCTCGCCTTCTGGAGATTCTACCTAAATGCCACATTCACGTTGGACCTTCCCTGAATAGCTCACATGCAGCAACCGCCTCTGACCCTCCAGCCGTGCCATTCTTACCAGCTTTCTTTTTCTCCACTACGCTTGGCACTATCTGGCTTAGTATAGATCAACTAATTATTAGTTTCTGGTCTATCTCCCTCCACTCCAATGTACACTCCGTGAAAACGGACTTCTCTTTGTTCCCTCCTATATTCCCAGGGCCTAGATAGCACCTGGACATAGGCCTTAAGAAAGAGTCATTGAATAAAGATGAAATGAGTGAAAGAATGAATGCATGAATTAATAAAATGCACAGGGTTTCTAACCTCAAAGAATTTATAACCAGGTGGGGGAAGACATAAAATAAGCAAAATAACTATAGCTTGTGTGGTAGGGCAGTGACTCCAAGGCTGGGAAGTCTGATGGTCAAGGTTGAAATCACTGCTCCACTGATTAGCTGTGTTTTCAAGGACGAATCACGTAAGGTCTCTGGGCCTCATTTCCTCATCTGTTAAATCGGAATAATAATACTACCACCCTATAGGATTATTGTGATACTTAAATGAAACAAATTCATATAAAGTGCTTAGCATAGTGCCTGGCATATAATAAGTTTTTGATAATTATTAATTGCTATTTTGATGGGATCCCTTGCCAGAATCAAGCAGAGCCTGTAAAGTTGTGTGGGATCCTGATCTTGTGTCCCTGAGACTTTTCCGTTGGGAAGCAAATGTTAGAAAGGCCTCCCCACCAGAAGGACTGTCCCTGGTGACAACTTTATCTTAGGGATTCTTTGAACCACAAATACCCCTGGTCCTCCCTTCAAACACATATTAAATATTTCAGCTGCCCAGATGGGCTCCAAACAATACATCCATCCCCTCTGGAAAAAACTGTTTCCTGTTTAAATATAATTTTAGCAACCAGTTAAACATATGTTTTCTTTGTTTTCTTTTTCTATTAATTTTTAGGCTGCATAAAATAATTGCTAAGGCTGTAATGTACTTCAGGAGATATTTGTAAATCTAGCTTTTTCCTTGTGAGACAGAGAACACTGTGTCAAAAGTCATTCTGACAATTTGTGTTTTAATTTAAGTTTTATGAGTTACCATTTAAAGAAGGGCAGTTTCTCATTGGTAAGCCTTCTTAAGAGGTTGGAACTTTGATCTTAAATCCTAGGGAGGCTTTGCAGAAATTGGAGGTGACATTGTTGACAGTTTTGTCTGTGACTATTCTACTGCCATTAATTAAACACACACATATATACACACCCTTTATTTACTCCTCTGGAGTAAATGAATTGAACTTGATTTTGGTTTTTGAGGGGAAGCTATGAGAGGGTTCAGGAAACATCAAAGAAACATTGTTAATCTCATAAAACTGACTCCAGTGACCTAGCTTGAACATTAAAGAGTTCTTGATTTTAGGGCTGGCCTAACTTCTTTACTGTAAAGCATTAATTCTCCTTAATGACAAGAAAAGTTCAGGGGAAAATAATCCCCAGTTCATTAAGTTAGGGCCTTACAGGCACTTTAATTTTATGTCACTTCTAAAGGTTTCCTTAGTAAAATTGTATATACCTTTTTTTTTTTTGCATTCTCATCTGCTCACATCTTCAAGATCTCAGCTTTAAGATCTGAAAACCTTACTTCTTTTGCATTTTAATTTCAGAGTTTTGGAATACTGAGAGCTATCCTAAAGCTTTCTTATGCTCCATAAACCTTTAGAAATGAAGGCACCAGTTGGTTAAGGCTCTTTGTATACGCACAAAGCCAAATGGTGCCTTTGCAGAGACAAATGTGAATCTAGTAGTTGGGAGGTCTTCATGTCGGCTTAGGGAACCCCATTAAACCACTCATTTGCTCCCAACAAGTCACCATCAGTGTAACGGCTGGATGCCTGTTTTAAGTTCTAAAGAGTAGCGAGCAGAAGAGACAAAAATCCTGCTCGGTGGAGTTTATGTCCTAATGGACCATTAACGCAGTAAGTAAATCAATTGCACAGTACAGTAAAACCTTGGATTGAGAGTAACTTGGTTTGCGAGTGTTCCTCAAGACAAGCAAACATTTCTAATACATTTTAACTCGGTAAACAAGCAATGTCTTGCAATATGAGTAGTTTGTTTCCAGAACAAATTATGCTCGCAAACCAAGGTATACTGTATATTAGAAGGTGTTAAGGGCTATGGAGGAAAATAGAGCAGTGGTGTTAGAGCTGGTTTGTATCTTACATAGGGTGGTCAGGGAAGGCCTCACTGATAGAGTCACATTGGACAGAGGCCCGAAGGAGCTGAGGGAGTACGCCCTTGGCAGAGATGTGGGAAGAGGAGGCGGGGTGCACGAAGATGCTGAGGCTGGAGGACACCTGGTGTGTGGGTGGAGCAGCAAGGAAGCCGGTGAGGGTGAGGGAGAGGGAGTGAGCCAGAGGTCAGAGCCATCAGTGGCAGGTCACCGGGAGATAGGTAAGACATGGGCCTTTTTTCAGAGAGAGATGGCAGCCGTGGGCGGATCTGAACCCAGCAGTGACGTTGAGTAGATCACTGTGGCTGCTGGGCAGAAGCCAAGAGACTAGTGCTGTGGCTGTTGCCTTGCCCTAGGTTAAAGATGGTGGTAGTTTGAGCCATGGTGGAAATGATGAGAAGTGTTTGGATTCAGGACGTGTTATAAAGACAGAGTCAAAAGGGTTTCCTGGTGGGTTGGGCAGAGAAGGATTAGGGCTGTCTGCATCCGCTGAGCCTGAGCACCTGGACCACGTGCTCTGCCGCGCGTGCATTAATATTGACGGTTCTTACACTACACATTCTGAGAAGGCAGGATGGTATCCGGATCCGGTTCATTAATGAGAGAGAACTCTGCTCGTCAGTGTAGGTTGCCTAGTCCTTCTTGACACCATCTGGCTGCACCTGTGGCGTCACATCCTGGGAGAGGAACTGTGATAGGTGTTGGAGCCATCCTGAGCATCTCAGCTCAGAGTCTGAAAAATGCAGAGAAAGGGCAGCAGAGCCTGAGAAGCTAAAGTCAAGTCAAGGAATAAGACTGTCAGAAAACTTTCAGGACAGGCACATCTGAAAAGAAAAACCCCAGGTGCAATAAAATGTGTGTCTTTTCCTCGTAAGGATTTTTCCTGTCTATTTCTCTCTCTCATAGCTCCCAGTAGGGAGAGAAAAGATGCAACATTTTTTTGCATCACAGAGACAATGAATGGACTAACACAGAATGTGGCAAAAGCAAAGATGAAGTCCCACACTGAGCCATTGAGGACTGGCAGTGTATGGATCTACTCAGATAGGTGGAAAGTATTTCCCACTGGTCTCTGAGAGCCCCACTTTCCACTGCACCCACCCTGCTCTTTCCTACTTAAATCAACCACAAAACCTATTGTGACAGAACATGAGGACATGGTGCATTCACTATGATGGTGGTCCAGGACAGAGCCAAAAATTCCACTTGTTTATTTAACTAGGAATCTCATTTCCCACCCCTGCCTTACTCACATGGGGTTAAGTAAATCTTAATCCGACTGAATTCTTACCAGAAAAGCAAAGGGTAACCCTGGAAGCCCTCTAAATTGCAGGTGCAGGATAGAATGAGGAGGAACAGGGAGGGTGGAGACCAGTGGAAAATATCTGCGGGCGGCCAAGAAGCCCAGAAGGCTGATGAGCTCAAGAAGGAGCAGGTGTGTGTGTGTGTGGGGGGGTGGGGGGTGGGGGGGGGTGACGCAATGCCTAAGGGCACAACTGGAAGCCCCAGGGGTGGGGTGATGGGGAGATCAAAGATGGACTGGCGTTTGGTCAAAAGAGATGGTGGGCTTTTACTTGTAAAAGGATTTGTAAATCCTAGGAACCAGGAACCATAAGGATAGTGGGGCCTTTAATCCTATTAGTAGAAGACAAAAGTGTGCTCTTTAAAAATGTAAACACACCAATTATGCAATTTCTATTATCAAAACTTTGGGAGAGACTACCAGCTTGGGAAACTCCAAGGAATTCTTCATTGATGGGAAGAGAAATTGCAGCAACAGCCCAGGCCTTATAAGTTAATATAAAGACTCCGTCTGAAGAATTTCAAGGAAATTTACTAAATATATGTTCTGAACCAAATAAATAAATAAAACGTGATATATTTGCATGAAATCGGCTTGCTTACATATGGAGCTGGAAGAATAGCTAATAGTGTAATTAGGGATGGATCAATTATTTAGTACATTTTGAGGATGTAATGAGCCAGATTTTAAAATTTAAGGACCTGTTGCTTTCCAAGAGGTTGCCCCCCTGTGTTCCCCTTTCCCTAGTTGCTGTATCTAGATAGGCCCGACCTCGGTGCACCCATAGCAGCTCTCCTGGGTACTGAGTCGCAGGAACTCCGTTCCTCATTGCTGGTCTCCATCTCAGCTGTAATTCGAGGGTCCAAGGTTATCTCCATAACCCTTTGCCAACAGGACTTCTCCTCAAAGAGTCCACAGCCATTCAGTGTAGCGTGGAAGTATTCTTCTGTGTTCCTGTGTGACGCGGGTGTGGAAGCTGTTCAGGCAGAGCCACATCAGGTGGACACAGCAGAGGGGCGGGGCATAGGGCTGTGTGCTCCAGAGTTCATGAACGGTCGTGTGATAATGATTGTCCTGCTAAAAGGAAAAGCCTAATTTCATTTTTAAAAATTCACATCAATGTAAAATATTGAGAGGAAGTTGGAAGTAGTGTCACTCACTGTGAAGTCACTGTTGTGTTTAGAATATACAGACCTACCCATTCAGTAATTATCAACCATAGAGTCCAATTTTTAATGCTATTTTATAAATAATTTTTTTCCTTAATTACTCCTGAAGAGAGTAACTATTATTTTGTGGTTGATATTGAATAGAGTTGCTTTCCAGCACCACTGACTGGGCTTCATTTGTTTTTTGTTTTTTATCTATAAAGGTATGGAAACCTGACGAGCCCAAACTGTGAAGAAGATGGAAGCCAGAGCTCCTCGGAGTCCAAGACTGTGATCAGGAAGTGAGTCCTTTCTCTGCTCTCCAAGCTCACACTCAAGACACACTGTCTTGAAAGAATGTAGTTTAGTAGAATTTTTTAAATTCCTTTGTAATGTCGCCATGTTTTTTTCCATAATGCGTAAGAGCATAGAATTACTTTTTTACTCTCTACTGACGTTCATTTACTCATCCAGTAAAAATGCATTGCGCACCTACGGTTTGCCAGGCCTTGTGCTAAGGGATATTCCCATGAACAAAATAAATAAGTCCCACCTCTTAGGAAGTTTATGCTTTAGCAGAGAGAGAGAGAAAGAATCCACACAAAATAAAGAATCCACACCAAGAAGGATGAAGTAGGTCAGGGGGCTGGATCCTGATGGAGAGTGTGGTTCACGTAGGGTACAGAAATGGGCTTCTGACCTGGTGACCCTGGAGCACAGAGCTGGGGAGGGTGCTGTGAGGCCTCGTGACTACCCAGGGCACAGGGAATACGGAAAAGACCACGAGGCAGGAACACTGTTTGAGGAACAGTAGGGAGGAGAGTGAGGCTGGAGCAGAGGGAGTGAAGTGGCAACTGCCAGGGGATAAGATCTGTAAGGTAGTGGGGGCCCCAGATCATGTGGGGACTTGAAGGCCTTGGGAAGGACGTTGAATTTTATTTTGAGGAAGATGAGAAGCACTTAGAAGGTTTTGAAGAGAACAGTGCTGTGGCTTAATTTTATTTATTTATTTATTTATTTATTTATTTATTTATTTTTCTTTTATTAGTTTTAGGTGTACAAACCAACATAATAGTTAGATATTTACACCCCTCACAAAGTGATACTCCCCCAAGCTACTACCACTCTGACATCTTATATAACTATTACAACACTCTTGACTATATTCCCTATGCTGTACTCCACATCCTGTGACCATATATATAGAGGGTGTCAAAAAAATGTATACACATTTTAAGAAAGGAAAACTGTATTAAAATTGTAATACTCAGTATATACCACTAACAAAAGATGAATCCAAGTCACGTTTGACTTCTGCAATTACAAGAGGTGCTCAAAGTGGTTCCCATCAGCATCCAGACACTTTTGATTATGGTGAACTACAGCTTGAGCAACGTTGACCAAAATGTCTTCCGGTATACATTTTTTTGGCACCCTCTGTATGTATATTTAATTATAGTTGACATACAGTGTTATTCTACATCAGGTTTAGTTGTACAGCATCTACACAGCCTATGAAATGATCCCCTTGATAAGTCCAGTGCCCATTGGCACAATGGAGTATTACTAGCCATAAAAAAGAATGAAATATTACCATTTGCAACATGGATGGACCTTGAAAATATTATGCCTAATTTATATTTTTAAAGGCTTACTTTGGCTCTGTGGGAAATAGCTTATGCTGATGAGAATGACCTTGGAAACAAGCAGGAAACACCCAAGATGAAGGGGTGGGGGCCACCGCTATAGCACTGGTGTTCTTGAGCCGATGAGGTATGTCAGAGAGCCTGAAACCACTCGTGATAAAGCCTCCTTTTGGAACCAGAAGTGTGGGACGTAATCCTATGGAATTTTTAAATGAGAGGGTTGACTGGTGGACTCCTTTCTTCAGGAGCCAGAGATATGAAGGTTAGAAAACTGTCTTTTTAACTCCCAAATTAGGCTCCAGTCCATTTTATACTTTTTCTTGGATGGGCTATAACTTTCCTGAAAGCCAGACACACCACCATAGGTATTTGAGTGCTAAGTCTAAGTGGAACAAATACTTTATTCCTGGAGAGCTTGGGGAAGGCTTCTTGGGGATGACATTTGAGGTGGGCCTTGAGGGATGGTGAAGATTTTGGTGAGGGAGCCACGCAGACAGAGGGAACAGTGGGACCAAATCAGAGACATGCCGCATGTGTGACCTTTTGGGGAACAGCACAGACTTTGTGTGGCTGCTTCTCAGGGTTTAGGTTGGGTGAGTGGAGTAAGTGCAGCTGAAGCTGGGTTGGGGTTTATCGTGAACGTCTCCCAAGAGAACTTGACTTTCCTTGATAAGCAGCATGCAGTCAGCCTCAACCAGCAGTCCAGGAGGAAAATAGTACGAGATAGTTGATATCAGAGAATGAATGAGACTTGGTGCCTTCTTGCTCAAAGTGTGGCTCCAGCCCAGCAGCAGCAGCAGCTCCTGGGAACTTGTTAGAAGTGTAGTCTCAGGCCCCACCCCAGACCTTGATTAGAATCTGCATTTTAACAATATCCTCAAGTGACTGCTACCAACTTTAAAGTTTGAGAATCACAGGATCAGAGGGGTTTTGTTGTTGTTAATTTTGTTTATCCATGCATACTAACGGCAATAATAATTTTTTAAAAAGAACCTTTTGATAATGGGTATTTCTAAGTATATACAAAAGAAGAGATTGTAAGAAGTGAGTGGCCAGCTTGTCAAATGTCATTTCGACCTGGGACCCGACTCAGAAATAAGCGTGTTGTTATCCACTTTTTTTGGAATTGAGTCAATTCTAGAGCTTCCCTTCAACCAGCCACTTGAACACTCTGAGGAGAGTTAACAGTCTGAAAAATATCCAGAGCATTTCTGTTTATCAGGGGAGTTTCGAGATTCAGTATTTTTCTGGGGAGTAAACAGTTAAAGGAAATTGATTTGTACCCTGATGTGAAGAGCCATGCTCATTATTTGAAAGGCCTGTTACTATAAAACTTCATTCAAGTTCATTGTCCACCAGGAGCAGTAATGTGGGTGATACTCCAGCGTAACTGTTTTAAAGGGCATTACAGGGTTAAGCAGACAAGACCTTAACAAAGAGCTTCACACAGAACTCCCCGGAGGGGCCCATCATCTGGGGACAATGGTCCTTTCCTGAAGCCTCACCATGAATTAGTAGAAAGTCCTTGACCCTGTTTCTCAGCCTGAGTTGCCTTTCTAAAAAAATTATGCCTGATGAAAATATGCCACTTTATGTTATAATGGGTCACTCTGTCCTACAGACACTGGAATGCTATAAAATCCCTCCTCTCTGCTGACCTCTTTCTTTCTTCCCTCCATGTTTTCTTCTGCCCCCCACTTCTCCTTTTATTTTTCATTGCACGTCACCATTGTCTTCTTGCTTTCTTTTTCTAAACTTACCCTGTTCTTGATCATGTCTGTGACTAGTTGGGGTCACTGCTTTGTCTTTCTGAGAGGTAATCAGGGGAGCACCCTCTCCATCCCATATGTAACATGTTGAAAGTTCCTCCGTCACCTGAGAGCTCTGGCATCTGGTAGCAATGATTGAAGGCTTCCTGATGACTGGTAGATGTGTAGGATATATGGCTGTGCGACAGTTCCCAGCGCGGGCGATTTTGCCCTCAGAGGACACTTGGTAGTGCAGTAATGACTCGGTTCGCGAGCATAATTCGTTCCGAAAACAAACTGTTCGTATTGCAAGACATCACTCATTTACCAAGTTAAAATGTATTATTAGGTTGGTGCAAACGTAATTGCAGCTTTACGTTTGCACCAACCTAATAGAAATGTTAGCTCGTCTTGTGGAACACTCGCAAACCAAGTCACTCGCAATCCAAGGTTTTACTGTATCTGGAGAAATTTTGGTTGTTTCACCTTAGTGGGTGATGCTATTGGCATCTCATGGGCAAAGGCCAGGATTGCTGTGAAACATTCTATAATGCACAAGGCAGTTCCCCTCCCCGCAACAGAGAATTATCTGACCTCTAAGTGTCAGTAGTGCCTAGGTAAGAAACCCTGCTATATGGCGAGGAGGCCACAGTCCTCCAGTGGAAACTGTCTTCATGAATAAATGTAAAAATAGGACCATGCCTATTTGGAAATGTACTTATTCATATCCCTTCTTATAATGAGGAGAATCACATACGGAGGTAGTCCCAGGAGCCAGCCTCATGGAAGGTGACGGGCCCGGCTCAGGAGCCTGGAGATCTCAGATCAGAGCGCTTCCTCCTTCACTCTGTCACTCACCAGCGTTCTGACCTCGTCATTTTCTCTCTCTGTGTTTCACCCTTTACCTGAAAAATGAGTGCTTGGAATATATGATCTCTGAGGTCCTTTTAAGTGTAACGAGGTTCAGGATAAAATTTATTGAGCTTTCTTTATCTTTTTAAAAATGACAATCAGAAACAGATATGGTTCAAGTATTGTATTGAGTATTTGAGAAGTCCCCCTGACTGCTTTTCTCTGTTGGTAACTAGACTGTTACCAACTAGTAACTAGACTGGGTAACTAGTTTTGATAAAATAGGAAGACAAAATAGACAGCTTCTTTGATTTCGCTTGTTGCTCATCATGACATCACAGCTGCTCGCTGTGGTCATTGAAGAGCTGAGCTAAAGCATGGTTTTTGGGGGGGCGGGGCAGAATGTCCACTGTTTTCCTTTGCTGTGGATCTGTCTTGTGATTTCAGGTGGGAAACAGACGGCAGGAATTCAGTGACCTTTTAAGAAGTAAACATCCTGTTGTGGGGCCGATGTCTTCAGTTTTGAAGAGTGTTAGGGGTGGGGTGGGGGTGGGGAATCCCTGTTGGGTTTAACCAGGAACAGAAAAATGCTCAACTATCATTTGGTTTTTTAGTGTTTGCTGTAAAAGCATAGAGCAAGGCTGACATTTATTCAGGCTCCCAACTCCCAAGATAACAGTCTTTTCTGTATTTCTAAATATGGATCTAATCAATCTTGCAGAGGTTAAAAGAACTTAAAAAGAAGGAAAAGGTGGAGGTACAGATGAAACAGTCAAGAGGAGAGATCGGTTTCTGGTGTCTTGGACCACAAGCGGCTAGTGTTCTTCATGCATTTCAGAAAGAATGGGATTGTGCCATGAATTCCATTTGCAATTCCAGCCCCAAGCATGCCCAGTTTACAGTTTGTGCAATATCACAAACCTTTAAAGTTATCTGGCTAAAACAAGAATTCCTTCCATTGCAAGGAATTCAGCTTCCAAGGCTTCTAGATGTTGGAGCCTTTGCCACCTGGTGATTTCTGATGGTAGTGCTAGACTGATAGCTATAGTAAGGCCT